GGACGCCGTCAAAGCCACTCCCCACCTCCCCCGTTCCGCTCCTGCTCTATTCCCATCATTCCATCTGTGCAGTGTCACCATGACAATGAGGTGTCTTGCATGCAAACCACCCCAGCGACCACAACGATGTCAGTCACCTGTGGGGCCACGCCTTGCAAGGAGGAGAAGAAAGAAAAGGCAGCGCACGCCCCGTCGTTTTCATCTTCCTGCTCGTCTGCCATTGGACGGCAGCAGGACGAGGTGGCCCTGCTGCTCGAAGAGGCACAGGAGCAACTCAGGGCGTTGGCGCTGGCTCACAGGAAGCAGGAGGGGGGCGGAGTCTTCACCGGCACCTCAACGGTTGCACTGGTGGAAGCCAGAGAAACTGTTTGCTTCCTGAACGTTAACGGAGGAAGTGCCGGGGCGCTGAGCTGTAACGGACCCACGCAGACCCAGCTACTCAGCCCCAGCCTATCACACAGAGACCTGGGCCAAACCGGCCAATGAGAAGGCGCGATTTAGGACATTCACTTACTGTTTTACACTGTTTGACAGACTCTGGTGTTCTGCATCTGTGGGCTGAGAATGAAAATGCTGAATTAAAAAACAAAAAAGAAAAATGTAATATCATGGATAATCTGAAAATGTGCTGATGATATGCATACTGTATGTACACGAGCATACAAACACTTCCCGAGTGGCCGCCTTTACACCGACTGACAGTATGGGAAAAGAAAAAAAAATATTCACGTGCATTTATTTACCAAACAAGAGAAACACTTCTACTTAGACAAAAAGAAACCAAATAGTCTGTCAAATCCATGGTGTTTTTAATTGTAAAAAGAATATATAAATATATATATAAATATATATGGATATAAATATATGGAATTCAAAAGTGACCAAGTAAAGTTGAAGAACACAGGAATGATGTAACTATTTTTGTTTGTTTTTTTTCGTTCTCTTGGTTTTGTATTCTCACATTTTGGTTCTGGCTCGATGAAGAACTCCATTAATGTCCCGCCGCAGGTCCGCGAGTCGTGAATCGGATTCTGCGAGCCTGCGCGGAATCAAAAACGACCAACGAGAAAAAGGAGCCACCACACCAATTTCACCCCCCTTTGCCTTTTGAAAAACTGTTACCCAGCCAAGAATTACAACGCAGCCGTCTGTGGTAATCAAAAACACTTTGAGGATTTACGACGCAAAACAAAAACTCCCCAGCTTTGTGTGTGCGGGTGTGTGTGTCTGTGCTGGGAAGCCACGAGGGACGAGGCAAAGAAAAACTAGGGTTTTTCCCCAAATGCCACTCGGATTTGGGAGGGCAGATTGTGGAGATACTGACTCCAGTTTGGCCAGTGTTGGAAACCAGTCTAGATTATTTTTGTTTTTATTACAAATTATATTTTCACACTCATATGCACACACGCTCGCCTGTGAATTATTATTTGGTTGCTTGAACGAATGAACAGAAGGACTGAGAAGGACAGTGGGCTACGGGGCTCTACGGGAGTGGATGTTTGTTTTGTTTTCCATTTTTTTGGTTATTAATGAACAATGCTGCTTTCTGGGGCTGATGGGAGGGACAAACACATGGTTTTGGTATTGAAACAAGAAATAAATGTCTCTATGTTGTATCCTATGAATTGGAAGCTTTTGAATCTCTGTATGAAGTTACAGCCAAATGTCTCTGGTGTCACAAAGTATAAAAACAATGGTTGCAATTCTGGTAAAGACTTTTCCAAAATAACTGTTGTTTTGATTGATTGCTTGAAAGACAGCAACCTGCCCGTAGATGCATGCTGGATAACATCACTCTGAGGGTTTACACTGACAGTGTTACTTTTGACCTTTTCACAACTTCGCCAGCTTGAAGACATCTGGGATCAGCATTCATGAAGCACTTTATTTTGTGGAGCTCCTGGTTTTCTGTGCACTGAATACCAAAATGTTTTAAAATGCGGTGCCGTTTCCTGGCTGTAGATGGACAGCTACAGCCACGTTTAAAAATTAAGCCAACAACCCTCAGAAAAATGTTCACCACTGTGGGAAAGCACAGGAATTTGTTTTTCAGGCAGAGAAAAGCGGCATGTGGATGGGAATGTGATGGGATTCATTCAAATTCGTGTAACACAACTGCAAAATTATATAAAACCTAACAAAATGAAATAGAATCAATAGTTAAATATCAAACCCATTTTAAATAAAGTACAGGGTGGGCCATTTATATGGATACACCGTAATAACATGGGAATGGTTGGTGATATTAAAGTCCTGTTTGTGGCACATTAGTATATGTGAGGGGGCAAACTCCTCAAGATGGGTGGTGACCATTG